CAATCTGCCGAAGCCTACCCGAACCAAGCGCAAAAATTTGTTTTTGTGTACATAGCGGTAGAATCACTGAAGAAAATGTTCGCAGAGAACACTTCCTTCTGCTTTGGTTTCATGAAGAAAAATTGATCTTTTGGGTTTATGCTCTTTTTCGGATTTCTTTGCGATTCTTTCCACGAGCTTAAGGTAGGAAATCGGCACATGCATATTTGATCGGCCAGAAAGGTTTACTTTCTGCCTTCGAACTAAATTATACTTGCTCAGACAGACCTCTTTGATACGTTGTAGGCGGATTTACGTTCGAAAGGCAGCCACTCAGAATTCAAGTAAGAGGCGGTCGTTGAAGAAGGAATTAAGAAAAGACCATGAATATGGCCCAGAACTCGGGAAATAGAACCCCTTCTTTGCTAGGTCTCCGCATTGATGGTGCTGCTCTCTTGAACGCTAATCCTCCTTCTGCTAAGCGGCCTGCGTCAGGCGGCGACGAGGGGGCGTACCGTGGCAGTAGCGGCGCGAGACCATGTCAGATTACCGGGGCATACCCTTACCGGCGAATTGCATGTCGGTCTGCACCCTTAGGGGGTCCGCCTGGTTTTCCGCTAGGTAATTTTCCCTTTCTTCAACCTTCGACCTTCCCGTGGAATCTTTCTTTGACACGGAACGATAGTTTGATCGCTCGGAAGCTTTCACAGTCCAGCGGTATTAGAATTGCAATGAAGATATTCTTGCTGATCCCGAAAAATCAACAAAATATTTGTGGGAAATGAACGAGAGAATCACAGTGGGATCACAGTTAAGCAGGTTATAACCAGAGTAAGGCTCCTTGAGAGGAGACACTGAGTTATTACAAAAACTAAGAAAAGTTGAGGGTTCTGAGCGCTCGCTTGGTTTCCATGATTTTACTCAAGCCTGGCAGTATAAAGCAGAAGGAAGGAAAGTCAAGATGCATAGGCGCATTTCACAGCAGACAATAGAAGAGAAGGACGGCGAGATACATCTAGAATAGAAGAGATAGGTAGGGATTGCAATTAAGGCCATTCGCTTTCTTGTCGTGCTGGTATTTATCACGTTCGAAGTCTTAATGGAAGCCGGACAAATTGTACGGCTTGCCTGAGATGAAAATGAAGCCGCATAAAGTGTTCACAATGATATTTATGAATTTGATCCCGTACTCAAAAACTAGTAAGCTTCATCTTCTCCACTAGGAGTCCAGAATTTTAGAGCTTCTGTGAGGAATCGCAGCCCGCCAGTCTGGCATCGGTAATATGGTTTACGGGTTACTTAAAATTTCCTCAGTGGTTTTGCTGTAAACGGCTGGAGCACCTACGATTGAAGAACGACGCCCAGCACGGCTCCAAATCTCAAGGAGGAAGATAAGAGCCTTAAGAATGGCCGCGGAAAGCTTTCATGAAACTATGAATTGAGACCTAGGGTAAATCAGTAGGGTCTGGAAGGCTGGCTAGAAATGTGGAGATCGGAACTGCTACGCGAACCTCTCAAGGAAGTTGAGGGTGGTCAAAGTTGGTTGTGGATGCTACGCTGGATGGTGATATTTAGGTGAAGCCTCCTTCTAATAAGAAATACCGATTGCGAGATTACGAATATGACATCTATTCTTAACAGTTACGCCTTCTAGCACCGATTTAGAGGCGCTCAAATGCAAAAATTTTGTCCTGTTGGGGAATGGAACCCTGGACCATTTTTGATCGCTCGCAACTCCATTGGCAGGTTCACGTAGCGATACCGAACTTGGTAATTTTGACCAGCATTCCAGGCTCCACCGATTCGCCCAGGCACCAATTCAAAGTTCCAAATGACTTTAAAAGCTTCTGGAATCCTAAGGGAGGCGCAAATTACAGTGTGGGCCAAAGTTTGAATTCTGCAGATTAAAACTAGTCACGTACCCGGCGCGTCTGTTCAGGCTAAAGAGCATAGGCGGAAGCTTCAAATTTGAAGCGGCCAAAGGGCCAAGTTCAAGTGTTGGTAATAGAACCCTAAGGCAAAAAATAACGCTGAATAATACACCTTTTTTAAGAGCAGATAGGAAACCGAACATTTGATTAAAACTATCATCAGCGGCAAATATACTGAATGAAATTTATTCAGGTTAGTTAAATTATTCATAAGATTCACAAGAGCACATCATGGAGTCCCCCCCCCTTTGAAAAACCTGACATTCAAAATGACCATCAGTGGAAAGGATGTGAAAAACAAACGAACAAAAAAATACGTCTCTTTATTTTTTGATCCAATCTTTCTCCAGCTGTCCAGAATTTGCCTAGTTTCCTGAACAAATAGCTCAAAAGCGCAAACATTGAGGGATGAACAATGCTTCAAAGCAACGGGCCTTCCTGTGGGAACGCAGAGAATGGTTCAGGAGCAACACATTCAAATGAAAACAAAGGCTGTGGTTGCCGTTATGGCTCGGTTCAAGATAGCGCTAGGAGGGCTAGCAGGACTCGAGAAATGGTCACTGGGACCGAGGTGGTTGTTGTCAGGACTGACCAGCTCGGTCTTGTTCAGCAAGTGTTCCCCTTCAAAAACTTGTCGTGGTGCTTTCAAGAGACTGATCGAGTTCGATTGGCAAACGAGTGGGACCGGAGTGGACGGGCTGTCGCGACGATCGGTCGGTAATTGCAATCGGACCGTCTCGCAGCACATGCAGCTCGCTATCGTGGGACGTTTGAAAAATGGCCCAAGGCAAACACGGCGACAATGCGCCGAGCACACAAATAGCAAACGCTGAAACCGGCGCT